GCCGGCGTCTCGCTTGGCCGCCCCCCCCCCCCCCCGCGGGGTTTTCTTTCCTCAGCAGAAGCGAAGGCGCGAAGTGGGCACCGCCGGGCCTGGCCCGGGAAGGGCCTTCGGAGAACGAAAGTGGACTCGGAAAAGCTTCTCTCTCTCCTCGTCCTGCTGGCCTCAGCCACCGGCACTTGTAGGACTCACGGGCGGGTCACGGAGGCAAGACGCAACAATTCAAGGCTCTGGGCCTGACCACGACTTCTGTTAAAAATACCCGTGACTACAGCTGTGGCCTTGAGAGCACGTGGAGGGGGCGCCCAGCAGCACCACAGACGGTGGGAGCCGCGTGAACAGCGAGGCCCTGGAGGCAGCCAGTGTTGGATAGTCAGCTGCTTGGACAGCCACAGTGATCCGCAGAGGGCATGCAAAGGCATGGAACTGATGACTTCCACGACCTGCATGACAGACCTTGAGCCAGACTGGGGTGCAAAAGATGAACTGAGGCGCTTATACAGACCCGCAGCAGAGTTTCATGTAAGCTTCTCCCAAGTTGGTCCTGTAAAAGTGTCACTTCACCCACCTTGTTGCACATGTTCACAATTATTTTGCCAGATGCATAGAGCCCTGCAGGGAAATTTGAATCCTCATCTGATCTGCAGATATCCACATGGACAGATGCAGATACATGCAGCTACAAAGTGGATATTCACAAATGTGCAGGGTTCTAGATACAAAATGTGTATCTGCAAAAATGAGCCATGGATATGCGCATCCATAAACGCAAATTATAAAGCAGGTAGCTGCAGATTTGCAGGGCTTACAGATGAGAAATCCGCCTCCATAAGAGCACACAGTAACCAGTCACCACAAAACAAAAAACACCTTTATTGTGAATGTTGTAGAATAGAACATTTTTGTTTAAAATATTAAATAATTCCTGTAAAGTCAATTAGAACAAGCTTAATACATTAACCCTCTAAATACAGGCAACACAAGATGGTTTTCTTTATTTAAATACTGTATGTGTTTTTAAATACACACTTTCTTTGATAATTAATTGCATTAGCTTCTTTTGGCCACTGAGGGGTGTACATTGAACAGTAAAACTGAAATGCTCTGCCAAAGGAAGAGCAGTATACAGGCAGTCCCCGGGTTACGTACAAGATAGGGACTGTAGGTTTGTTCTTAAGTTGAATCTGTATGTAAGTCGGAACTGGCGTCCAGATTCAGCCGCTGCTGAAACTGATCAGTCTGGACACCAGTTCCGACTTACATACACAGCACTGGTCAGTTACAGCAACGGCTGACTTGGGGACGCCTGGGGCAGAGCAGCTGGGGTGCTGCTGGGTTGGTCCAGTAGCGCCGCTCCTCGGCGCTACTGAACCAACCCAGCAGCGCCCCAGCTGCTCTGCCCCAGGGTCCACAACAAAAGCCTGGTCTGCTGGGGGGGGGGGCACACTAGCTGCGTCCCCCCCTCCGCAGACCAGGGACATGGGGAACAAAGCCGCAGCGGCAGGGGGCCGCGC